GCAGAAGCATTATGGTGGTGGTGATGGTTGGAGTCCTTGCGCTTCTCCTTGTTCTTATGCTTGCCTGACTTGGGAGTAGCAGCCGGTGTCTCTGTGTTCTCCTTGTTGCTGCCATTCTCAGGAGCCTCCTCGGGGACCTCCTCATCCTCTGACACCACATCCAGGTTGTCAAAGATGCTGATCCGGTGGACGCGGCCATGCAAGTCCACCTCCACCATGCGTTGGGCCTGTGCATAGCTCATCACCTCACGGCCCGGTGACTGGGATACCTCTGAGGGGCTGGGTGACTGTTTGTTGGCTGGGCGTGACTGGCGCCCCTTCTTTTTATGTTTGCGGAGCGGAGTCTGCTGTGGAGGTGGTGGGTTGTCGTGGTCATAGTGGTACAGGTGGTACTCGATACCACTGTAACTCTTGTAGACCTTGCGGCAGGTCTCCACGGGGCACTCATATGGTGGCTTAGTTGCCCGCAAGTTGTGGCAGAAAGTCTTCACGTCAAAGTCCACCCCCATGCTGTCACATCTAGAATGTACAGATCAGTTAGCATAGGCCTGAGAAAGAGTTCCTGGCCACCCACTCTACTCCACTCCCTGCGGCCCTCCCTCTCTCCAAGGGACCTGACCAGCCCACCTCTACAGCATCTCCAAATGCCATCTCCTACACACCAGGGCCAAGGTCTTGGCCCCATGACCTCTGGCCATCCTGCCCTATCTCTCAACTCTTCTAGCCTAATCTCACATAATGTGGCTGATCTTTCTACCAAATAGCAATGATAATGTCAATCTCTTGATTAAAAGCCTCCTGATGCTCCCCTCTTCCTTCAGCCTAATATCCAAATTCCCTATGAGGACATTCAAGGTGCTCCTTTCACTGTCTGGCCCTAGTCTTCCTTTCTAGACTCTTATTTTCACCAGTTACAGCTGTGCATCTGTCTACCCAGGGTAACTTGCTATTTCCTCAATGTTATAACCTCTCCTTTCTATAAGATGATCTCAATTTGGGATGCCTTCCATCCTAATTGGTGAGCTCCTACTCATTCTTCAAAACCCAGCTCAAATGTCATTTCTTCTGTTATGACTTTTTTGTCTCTCTCATGGAGAGCTGTGTTTCCACAGCATTCCATTCTTACTTCCACCATGGCACTTACCATACTGGAAGTTGTCTCCTCCCACTATACTGGGAGCTGCGCAGTGTAGACATCAGAGCCTACCCACCTCTATATCACCAGTACCTGGCATATAGTGGACACAGTCTTTGGCAAATGAATGAATAACCTGTTGACTGAATAGCTGAATGAGGGGATCACCAGATTTGGAGCTGAGAGCGATGGATAAAGGCTAGTGTTAGCCTGTGTAGAAGCTTGAATGAGTAGCCAATGATTTAGTCCTGGACTCAGGCAGAAATCATTGGATTATAGGAAGAATTAGTTCATTTCTGAGGTCTTTAGGGGAAGCCCATGCCTTGGCCCTGGCCCTGGGAGTAGTACCAGGCCTTAAGGATACAAACAGGAACATCACAACCCAGGCACAGTCAGCTCCAGGCTAGTCCTCAGGGCCCTCCTTTCCTCCTCTCCAATGTTCCTGAGTGAGTGGAGACAGCAGATGGCACCAGCCCCCAGGAAGCCCAGCTTGGTCAGAACCTGCCCCAATTTCTCCAGGCCTAGCTGAGTTCAACAATTCAGCTAGGGGCTTGGCATCATTCCAGGCAAAGCCACCCTGAGCTCCCATTCAAACAGTGACCACTTTTGGCCTCTCCTCCTGCGACTTAACCAAGCAAGTGGGCTACTCCAGTCTTTCTGTAAAAGCCCCTGACTTCCAAATCAGTATAACTACTCCTTCAACTCCAACTGACTTCTACTTCCTACCTTCGTCTGTCTCTAAACACAAACCAATTGGAGGCACAGACAAGCTCTCTTTCAATGATGGGTCCCTGGTGAATGCTGCGGCTCTGCTGCCCTGGTTCCCTAAGCAGTACAGAGCCCCCAGCAGATGTCCCGCTGGGACTCGGCGGCAGAAGCAGAGGGGAGGGAGTTGAGAACTTAGACCTGAAAGCCCTTGGGGAGGGCCCTGGGCTCAGGGGTAGGGCGGCGGCGGAGCTCAGGGGGCTGGAGGAAGTAAGGGGCGGGGGCCGGAGGGATCAGGTCGGGCCAAGGCGGTGCCCGCAGCCCTCTCCCGGATGCGGCGACGTTTCCCCTAGTCGAAGTGTAACAAGTTAGACAGGGCTCCTCTCCTGCCACTGGCCCAGGCAGCCCCGAAGGATACACTGGTGCCCCAAGATGCCGGCTGGGAGCGAAGGCACTGTCAGTTCTCCTGGCTGGAGTGGCCCAAGGTGCACTAGGGACGGGCAGCTCAGTGCGCGCCCCACGAAAGCAGCCTACCCCTTTCCCGTTGGCCACTCCCGCCCTGGTCCCAGGCCCGCACTCACCGGCCACCTCGAGTCCGGGCTCATCGCCGGGAGCGCCCGCCGGGGCTCCGACCCCACTTGGGAGGCCGGCGGGGAAAGACGGGCCGGGGAGGGGGATCCTCAACGCCGGAGACCGCAGACCTCGCCGCCCCGGCCCCCTGCCGCCCCACGCTCTGGCCCCGGCTCTCCGGGATTCCCGCGCTGACCCCTGCCGCTCCCGGTCCCGTCGGCGCCCGGGTGTCTCAACTCCGTCGGCCGCCGCCTGTTTCGAGAACCCCTAGGTTGCCCGGCCTCGGGATCCGGCGCCGCCGGAACAATAGAGGCTCCCGGAGGCAGCACGGGGACAGCGGCGGCGGCGGAGACGGTGGCGGCAAAGGCAGTGGCAGCGGCGGCGGCAGCAGCGGCGGCGACGGCGTCTGCGCAGGGTAAACGCGGCGCCGCGGCGCTGCCGAGCTGCACTTTCGCCACAGTTCCCCGCCGGCCCGCTGAGGCTCGAGAGGCCATTCTCTGGGACTCAGGGGCACCCCTGGACACCCCACAGAGCTTCTCTAGCATCTCTATCTTAGAGTTGAGTTTCTGGAGAGTGAAGTTGCGGTACTCGGGGTCCGGAGTGGTCGGGCCGTTGGTGGCGAATCTGCGGCCACGGACGGTGAGCGCGGGGCAGGTGGTGAGGAGCCCGCCCTTCTCCCTTCCCCCTCTGGCTCCTCCGTCCCTCCTCCCTCCTTTCTCCCTCCCTCCTGCTGGCGCCGCGGCTGCGGTAGGGACCTGGCCTTGGTCTCCGAGGAAACCGGCGAGGCGGGGCCGGAGCCGCGGGGCGGGGCTGGGGGCAGGGCCGGGAGCAAGAGTTACGCGGGCTGGAGCCTAAGGGGGCCCCGAGTTATGAGTAGGGGCGGGGCGCGGCTGGAAGAGAAGGAACCAGTCTATGGGGCCGGACTTTCGGGGGAGTGGGCGGGGCTATTTGTAAAGCGGGCCCCAGTAAGGAGAATAGGGGCTGAACGGAGCTAAAGGGTGGAGCTAAACAGAAGAGTGAGCCTCAGGAAAGAAAGGGCGGGGCTTTGGATGGGCCTGGAAGGTGGAGCTGGGCTAGCGAGAAAGGATAGAGCTGGGAAAACGACGCGAGGCTGAAGGGAAAGGGTGGGGCTTGGAAAAGGTAAGGGGCGGGGCTGGAGGGAAAGGGCGGGACCAAGTTAGGAATAACGGGGCGTGGCTGAAGGAAAGGGAAGGGGCTTGGGAAAGGTAAAGCAGAGGGACTGGAGGGAAGCTGTGGATCCGGAGGGAAGGGCCGGGTTTGGGGAGGTGCAGAGGGCTGAAGGGGTATAAAAGGGCTTGTGTAGGGTAAAATGGAATTCAGATGCTGGGAACTCCATAGGTTGGCTTGGAGATGCATCATGGCTATGGGTTGCCAGTTAGAAGGTGATGTCAAAACAGACGGAGCTGGGGCCGGCTCCGTGGCCGAGTGGTTAAGTTCGCGCGCTCCTGTGCTGCGGCCCAAGGTTGAGATCCTGGGCGTGGACATGGCACCGCTCGTCAGGCCACGGTGAGGCTGCGTCCCACATCCCACAACTGGAAGGACCTGCAACTAGGATATACAACTATGTACGGGGGGGGGGGGGGAGTTGGGGAGATAAAGCAGAAAAAAAAAAAAGATTGGCAACAGTTGTTAGCCCAGGTGCCAATCTTAAAAAAAAACAGAGCTGATTTTAATGTCACTGGGCCACTTAGTAGCTATCTGAACTTGAGCAAGTTGTTAAATTCTTCCTGCCTCAAATCCCTTATTTGTAAAACGGAGCTCGAAAACTCTAGTCATTTCTTGGGGACTTCGGAGAACTCGAGTGCCAGGGAGAGTCCGCTTGTTGAACAATGCTTGTTGCTGAGCCTCTCCAGTTTTGCCATCAAAGAGGAGTGTGAAAGGGTCTGGAAGCATCTGGGGTTCCAAAGCATCTGGAAGCTTCAGTTTTGTCTTAATGCAAACCTTGCATCGTACCCAATATAATGTATGTGTTTTCATATACAATGTCTTCCCAAAAACATCCTAATAAAATTGACACTTCAAGAATATGTTTTCTGGTTAAGATGTTGTGATCTGGAGTCAAACTAATGAGTTCTCTTTAATAAGTGATTTAACCTCTCTGAGCCTCAGTTTCCTCATGTGTAAAATGAACATAAAATATAGTGCCTGCTTCATAGGATTATTGTGAGGATTAAATAAAATGGTGCTTGTAAATCGCCTAGCATTGTGTCTGATATATAGTGAATACTCAAAGAAAATATTAGCTTTTTTTATTATCCTTATTAAAAAAACTCAGAATAAATGGATCAGAGCAGACTTATTTACAGTCATCTTAAAGCCAAACCCTTTTGAGGTCAGGAACCCTTTGAGTATCTGATGAAAGCTAAAGGTCTCTCTCCTCAGAAAAAAATGTACACACGCACAGTTTCACTTATTTCCTAAAGTGTTTGAAGAATGTCTGAAGAAGGGATTGGATGGATGTGTTAGGATGGGGATGAACCCTAGCTGAAGCTGTTTTGCTCCCTCCTCTTGGTGTGGCCCCAAGCCCTGGGTCCCCCAGTCTCCTTCCCCAAGAGCCATGAGACACAGGTGGAATAAAGATCAGCTTTATTATTGGCATGAAGGCAGGGAGGTCGTGACAGTGCCAGGCCCTTCTATGGGTGAGGGGGCGGAGGGCTCCACCAATTACCTCCTATCCTCTAAGCTGGCCTCCCAGTGAGGTCCAGGGCTCCAGGAATCTATGGCTTGCAGCAGAAGCAGTGGGTGGGCAGGCAGGCAGACTGCTAGGCGTTGGATAGGTGGGCTCCTCAGGGCTGCTCTGGAGCTGGAGTTGGGCTGAGGTTGGCAGGGCGTGGGGGGCGAGGCTGAATGTCTCTGGTGCGCATATAGGACAGCAGCTGCTCAGGGATCTCGGCCAGCACATCCTTGGCTAGTCGGGCCATGCTCAGCACCTGGTTCCCCGAACGGTCGACATAGTCTCGGAATGGGACGAACTGGGACAGGCACAGACAATCAGGTGTGGGTGGTGGCCAGGAGAGAGCGGAGTAGAGAGGAGGGCAGCAGGGAGGCTTCCTCTTTGACCGCTAACATCTCTTTCCAAATATCACACTGTCTGTCTCCCCCTATTTTGGATAGCTTTCCACATTTGCTTTCTACCCACCCACTTTTTTTTCCACCTTCTGTTCACCCTCAACTCACTCCAGTTTGGCTTCACACAGTCTACTAAAAACTGCTTTTGCTAATGTTGTCAGCAGCCCCATGTTCCCAAATCAGTCCAGTGGGCAATAATTGTCAATCCTCATCTAGCTTGACTTCTCTTTAGCTTTCCATTACATTTGGCCATAATCTTCCGGGACATATCCTACTCTTGACACATCATACTCTCCCGGATTTTCTCCTACTTTTCTGGATGCTCTCCTATTTTTTCCCTCCTTATTCCTCGGGGCCTACCTGATCCCTAAACCTGGTCCCTTCTCCTTCTCAGTTCTCTTGCTGGGTGATTTCATACGCTTCCAAGCTTTAAAAACTCTTCCCTGATGACTCCCAAATTTATATATTCATCCCTGGCCTCTTTTTAAAGTTCAGAGCCACAGAGTTAGTTGTCCATATCACATCTCCATTCAGTTGTCGTAGATACCTCAAACCTAATGTGTTCACAACTGAATTCTAGCCCTTTCTGCCAAGTCTGCTCCTCCTCCAGCTTTCCCCTTCCCAGGAAATGGGCCTATCACTCACTCAGTTGCTCATGCTAGAAAACTGACCGTCATCCTTGAAGCCTCCCTCACACCTCATCACCATTTAATCAGATCATCAACTCTTGTAAAATTTTCTTAAATAATCTTTTGAACCTCCATCCTCACTGCTTCCATTCTCCTCCAGATCCCTATTGTCTCCCCTCCATTACTTCAAAGTCTTCCTCACTAACAGGTCTACTTGCCTTCTCTATCATCCTGCCAGAGTCCACCCTCTACACAGCAGAGAGCCTCTTAAAATGTAAGTTTGACCACCTACTCCCCTCTGTAATCCTTCAAGAGCTTTCCAATTCTTTTAGAACAAAATCCCAATCTTGACCATAACCGGCAAGGCCTTGGCTCCCTCTTCCTCTCACTTACTGTGATCTGCCACCCTGGCCTCTTGCATTTTCCATGATTGGTCCAATTCTTCTGAGCCTCAGGGCCTTCTCATGTGCTGCTCCTTTGCTTGTAATACTTATCCCCTTGTTTAGGTTTCAGTTGAAATGTCATTTCCTCATAGAAGCCTTCCCTGACTACCCTACCTAATCAGGTTTCTGTTATAGGCTCTCCTAGTGGCCTTTGCTGTTCCTCTAGAGCACTATCACAATCTAATGAGATATTTAACTGTGTGATTATTACTGGTTGCCTCCACTAGAGATGAAAGGCCCTGGGATCTTCTACACTATGGATCCACAATGGCTGCAGTAACCTGCCTATTTCTCAAAAAGAATTTGTTCACTGAATGCAGGAAGGCTGAGAGTGAGGGGGAGAAAGGTAGGTGATTTAAGAAGGCAGTAAGGGAGAGTGGCTGCCAGTCTAGCCTCTCCTTCCCACCATGCCTTTCGACTCCATGACTTCCTCTTCCTGGTCAAGTCTACCTGAACGATGTCTCGCTCTGCGTAGCGTCCCCTATAGGACACGCGCACGTCATCACCGTCCAACTCTTCCATTGCTGCAGAAAAGACACTCCTTAGCTGATTGGCCTCTCCCACACCAACCCATGCCGCCTCCCTCCCTCTTTAGCTCCCCTTCAGAGTCACCATGAGAATCCCAATGGTTGTATCAAAGTCCTGCAAAAATTAGGCATTGTTATGGAGTTATTATTATGATGCCTTCCCATGTATTCCATCCTCCCAGGAACCCCAGAAGGGAAGCTATTTGTATCAACAGTCTCGGTTATGATGAGGAAACAGGTTTAGAGGTCTGTGATTTGGCCAAGGTCCAGTATAGGCATCTATCCTATCTTTTCTCTGAGGCAGGCCTGGGTGCCCAGATCTGCCCCAATCTTCCCCAGTTCTTGGTCCCACTCATAGACACCCCCTCATCCTACTCACCCTCAAACATGGCTGGTCCCACACCAACAATAATGATAGACATGGGCAATGAGGAGGCCTGTGAGGGGAAAAAGGGTGAACAGTTGGGGTGAGCAGCCATAACAAGGGAGGTGACTGTTGGGAAACAATTCTCTGTGTGTGTCACGTTTCTGCACACCTTGCAAGTAGAGACACTGATTCCCTTTGTTCTAGACTATCTTTGCAAGGATGTCTGCATATCAAACAGCCTTGAAAGTCACAGTATCTTCTTTTAGAGCAAAGGGCAGGTTTGTTAATGTCTGGTATAATAAAATGTCTCACACTGGAAAAAAGGGCAGGCATGCTTACTGCCTATTATAAAAGATTCTGGTTCCCTAAGTTCAAGGTTTCTGTCCTATAATGCAACCCACTGTAGGTGCAGATATCCTCTGACCCTCTTCACATCATCTTTTGGGAATCAGGACTTAGATAATCAGAGCAAAGGCTGAAACCCAAGTTACTGCTATTGCTGGGGATAACTAAGTCCTTTGTCTCTGATCCAGGAATCTTGTGTCTTCTGCCAGTATCCATAAAACTGGCAGGTTAATTCTTTAGCTTGCAAGTAGGGTAAAATTTCAACTCCTTCACATTTATTAACAGTGATCCCACCCTGCCAAGCCCTCCTCCTTGGACTCACACTGACAATGGCCTCCTTGGTCTGCGTCATGTCAGAGATGACCCCATCAGTGATGATGAGCAGAACATAGTACTGGGAACCATCAGAGATCTTGGCTGCAGCCCTGGGTGAGAGGGCAAGGTCAGAATCCAGCTGAAAGCCCAGAGAGGCCAAGGGAACACCCTACCCGTAAAGCTTCCACAGCCAGCGTGTAAGGAGTGGGCAAGGACTGGGGATTTTGAAGCTCAGGCTCCTTCCTCAGACCTGGCTGCCTGCCCCTGCCTGCCATCCCTCCAGTAACATTTATGGAGCGCTTACTATGATGGGTACTGTGTTAGGCACTGGAGGCACACTAGGAGAAAAAAACAAATCCATTCTAGCCCTCTTGAGGGGGGACATTGATCCAAGAATCACAGAAATAGGTATAAAATTATACTTGAGACAAGTGCTGTGATGGGAAGGGATACTGGTATGACAGTGTCTAGTAGGGGATCTGACATGGTCCAGAAGGTCAGTGAAGGCTTCTTTAAAGAAAAAGTGTTTGAGGATGAAGGAGAGGCTGAGTGAAGGGAGGATCATTCCAGGCAGAGGGAACAGCATAGACAAAGCCTCTGTGATGGGACTGAAGGAAGCCCCCCCTATCTGGAACCCAGAAAGTGAGGGAAGCAGAGTGGACTCTGTGGCTGAGATGGGGCAGGGGCCAGACCACACAGGGCTTTGTTGGCCCTGGAAACATTTTGGTGTTTATGCAAGAGCAAGACCAAAGGTTGAAGGCCTCCTTTCTTCCCTCTCACTCATTTCTTCTCTCTCTCCCTTCTCCCCTTTGCTGACCACATTCCATTGCCTGGGCTGCTGAGTCCTCAGCCAGTCTAACAGCTGCTCCCAGAGCTCCTTTTTCTTCTCTCACCATCAATCTTTGAATCCAAGATTTTTCCATCTGAAAAGGACTTCAGAAGTCATTGAGTCCAGTCTCCTTATTTTACAAATACGAAAAAATGAGACCTTGAGAGAGCACAAAGGCCATGACAGACCTGGGTCTCTTGACTTCCAGTCTCAGACCCCGTGTGGGTTGGAAAGGATTGAGCTGCACTATCCAATAAGGTAGCCCCTAGCCACATTGGCTATTGAATATTAAATTAACTAAGTTAGGGGCTGGCCCCGTGGCCGAGTGGTTAAGTTCGCGCACTCTGCTGCAGGCGACCCAGTGTTTTGTCAGTTCAAATCCTGGGCGTGGACATGGCATCGCTCATCAAACCACACTGAGGCAGTGTCCCACGTGCCACAACTAGAAGGACCCACAAGGAAGAATATACAACTATGTACCAGGGGGCTTTGGGGAGAAAAAGGAAAAAATAAAATCTTTAAAAAATAAAAAATAAATAAATTAACTAAGTTAAATAGAATTAAACATTCAGTTCCTTGTTCACGTAGCTGCATCTCAAGTGCTCAATATCCATATGTGGCTGGCGGCTACCATATTGGATAGCACAAATAGGTAACATTTCCATCATTGTAGAGAGTTCTATTGGAGAGTGCTGGTATTTAAGCTTGATATTAAAAAATCAGAGGAAAGCAGGGTGAGAGTGGAGAATTCAAATAGCTATGGCTCAGTTTGCCCAGTGCCCTGCATGGGAGTGGGTCATAATCCTCCTTAGTGGCCCCTGCTCCCTTCCTAAATTCTGGCTGAAGCCTCCTTGTAGGCCTGGACTGATACCATTTCCTGTCACTCACTTGTTTTACAGAGAGTCATTGCACACCTGCTATGTGTCAGGCACCAAGCTTGGTGCTGAGATTTCAGCAGAGACTAGAGTATTATCCTGGGGGAGATGGATGCTTATACCATTAAGATGCATTGAGGTTAGGGCTTTGAGGATGTGACATCTGACCTAAGATCTGAAAAATAAGTAGGAGTTAGCCAGGTGAAGGTGGTGGTGGTGGTGGTGGGGGCGGGGTTGGGAAGGTAAAGGGAAAAGTGTTCCAGAGAGAGGGAATGGCATGTACAAGAGAATGTTCTAGAAGGCGCATGTAGGACTACAGAAGAGAGATGAGGCTGGAGCAGTGGGTGAAGACCCACTCATGAAGGGATTTGTGAACCAGGGGCACTGGGGGGCATGGAAAGGTTTAGGGGCACAGGAGGTACATCTTTGGTTCCCCATAGATACCTGGCATTCCCAAGGCCATTTAGACTCGGAGATGGGTGACTAGCTGAGGGAGGCCAGTCTGTGCCTCACTTGGCTATTGGGTGAGAAACAACAAAGAGCCATCTGTGATCATCAGAATCACAGCTGCACACTTGACATACGTGATCTAATTTAATCCTCACCACCATTCTATGAGGTAGGCCTATTTTTCATTCCTATTTTTTAAATGGGAAAACTGAAGTTCAGAGACATTAAGTAGCACCAGCAAGTGGTGGTGAAGCCAGAGTCCAAGCCCATTCTTGACCAACTGAGCCTAAAGCCTGAACTCTGGATTCTTTCACTCTCTGGTCCTGGCCTGATCTTTGGGTGCTCCTCCACATATACACACATTCTGGTCCTAGTGTATTGTTTTCTGTTTCCTAAGCTTGCCCCTTAATGCCTCTGTGATTTTCACATGCAGTTCCTTCTGCCAGGCCTACTCTGCACCTCTTTCTCTGATAAAGTCCACCTCGCCCTCTAGACCTAGCTGAGTAGTCCCCTCCGCCAGTAGGCTGCCTTGGGTCTCTCAGACTATACATCCTCCCCTCCTCTCCCTCTGCCTTCTAGGATACTGCCTACCAAGATGGGCTGTCTGCCCTTCCAAATGGGGTCTCACACCCCTGAGGGTACCAGCATGTGTACCCGGAGGGACCAAAGGCCACAGGATACCTGGAGCATTCATTCTACTATATATCTGGTGGATAAAACTAGATAACTCTAAAGACACTTAAAACACCTTCCCCTCTCCCCCAAATTAAAGTATAATGTGAGAAGAATGTAAAATTTGCATGCATTTTTAAGATAAAATATGGGGACTTCAAAGACATTTTCAGCCTGGCTGCTTTCAGCTGTGCCCCCAGATTCCCCTGGGAGAATCAGTTGCTTGCTTTTGCCGACAGGTGACTTGCTGGAAAAGTCTGGGAAGCTCTGGCCTACAGAAAGTAATGATTTATTTATATTTCTGTCTCCTGCACCGAGGCAGGAAGTCCCAAGGGCAGAGACCAGATCTGATTCATCTGTGAGTCTCCAGTGTCCCAGTAGAGAACTGAGCACACAGCAGATGCCCTTTGAATAGTAATAATGATAATAATAGTAACAGTAATAGCCAACACACTTATAGTTCTAGGTGCTTGACATATATTAATTTAGTTAATCCTCTCAACAACCCTATGATGTGGATATTATTATCCCCTTTTTACAACTGAGGAAATAGGCAGAGAGGTTAAGAGTCTTGCCCAAAGTTACACAGCTAGTGAGTGGTAGAGTGGGAGTATTAACTTAGCTGGTCTGGTTCCATGGCCCACATTCATGCTACATTGCCCCTTTACTGAATGTTTATTAAATGAATGAATAAATGAATGAACCATTGAACTTGCCCGAGATAATATTCAAGAAGTCTGTTTACTAATAACAAAAAAATACGTTCAGGCTCCAATATTAAGTGAAAAAATCAGTAGTGAAATATTAAATGTAATTTGACTGCACTTATGGATGCATAAGGAAAAGACTGTCAAGAACTATATATACATCCACATTCCCGCAGGCAGTACTCTGGGTGATTTCTTATTTCATTTCTCCATCCTTGAAATTTTCTAACGCAATGTTATGTTACTTTTATAGTTAAAGAAATCTCATCCTCATTATGAATTAGAAAATAAACAAATCTTCATTGGGAAAAAGGAAGTCTATGGACATATAAATCTCCCTGAAATCTTTCCACTTTAATTCTCCGTTTTTGTTTCATCTTTTTACATTCAAGCTCTCTAAGGTACTTTGTGTTAGCTGGGTCTCTTTTATTTGCAAATAGTAGGGTTTACTTATATGTATTTTTAATTCAATCAGAGAATCTTTTTCTTTTAATAGGTGAGCTTATCTAATTTATGTTTATTGATATGTTTAGTTTTAGTTCTGTCATTTTATTTTACTTGAATTTTAAAAATCATTTGATATGTGCTCTGGGTTTTTTTTGGTATGTTTTTATTCTGAAAATTTGGAGTTATCTATTTTTAGAAATTACTCTTCTATTTTTTAATCTACCATTTATTGAGCACTTGCTATAGACCAGACACTGTGCTAATAATTCTTACATTGTTATCTAATATTAAACTCCCAATAACCTTATTAAGAAGGTGCTATTGTTATCCATTATTACACCCATTTACAGGGATGAAATGGAGCCTTAGAAAGGCTAAGTTGCTTAAGGTCACATGGTTAGCAAGTGCTGGAGCCAGGATCACTCCCACATCTGATGCCAAAGCTTGTGCCTTAGCTATTGTGCTATAGGCCCTTCTCTCTTATCCCCAAACTTGAGGCCTGGGTTGTTGTTCCCAGGGAGTGGGGTTGGGGTAGTTTGTTGACACCCTCTCTACCTCAGAATAAGGCATTGCATAACCTCTTTATACCAGAGCCTGGCCAACACTGAAACTTTCACTCTCTCCCTAAAGCCCAAGTTTACCCAAGAATAATCCTGAGCACCCTTGGGAAGTAAGTCCCCTGTCTAGGTCCCCTCATTTCCCCCAACCCCGACCCAGTTCCCTTACCTGGCCACTTGGTTGATGACAGGAGCAAAGTAGGTGGGCCCGTACAGCTGCACTGTGCGCAGGCTCTGGAAGTAGCTCTCCAGCACGCCCTCAATGCCCGCACAGTTGGGGTCCTCATCATTGTTGTTCTGTCAGGGAAGATGACCTGCTGGGCTGAGCCCAGTGCAGGATATACCCCGGAGTGCTCTGATCCCAGCTCACTCCTTCCTTTTTCCATCATGCTCTTTCATGCTCATCTCCAAACTCCAGCCCTGCTCCCCTCCCTGCTCTGTCACCCTCTCAAAGCTTCCTGCTTCTCTGCAGGTCCTTGACCCTTAGAAGAAATGTAAATAGAAGAAATTCATCAACTTGGGTGGGCCAGATGCCAGAGCATGGAGTGTAGGCTCTGGCCAGTACCATACCAGGGGGAACTGGTGGGAGATTCGTCCCTCTGGAGGCAGCTTGGCCCCAAAGCCGTAGGCTGGGAAGAGCTTGTCACTGTCATAGTCCTGGATGATTTCTCCCACTGCCTTGAGGGCCATGGCATAGGCGCTGAGCTGGTAGGGACTCATGTAGTGCAGGGAGGTGGGCTGCAGGGGATTCCCTGTAGGGACACAGGAGCCCCAGCCTCATGGTCACCTTGATCATCCATCTATTCACCTGCCTGTCCTTATATGCCTCCATCCACCTATCCATTCATCCATTCTTTACCTATGTACTCCCTCATTATTTTACCCAGTCATCCATATGTTCATTTATCCATCTAGACACCCACAAACCCCTATATCCATCAATTTATTCACCTACCCACATGTCCATTCTCCTATTCACTGGCCATAAATCCGTCTTCCAATCTACCTATTCATCTCTATCCAACTGCCTCTCTATTCTCTTATCCAACTATTCACCCACCTATCCATCTGTCCATCCCTCCATCCATCCACTTGCCCACCTGCCATTTCTCTTCCTTTCCCATAAATCCATACAGCCATATTCTTTTTTCCATCCATCCATCCCTCCCTATCTATTCCATTCATTTACTTGTCTGTCTATCCTCATATGGATCCATCCACTTGTCCACTCATCCGTTCCCTATCTACTTACCTGTTATTTCCCTAAACATCTGTCCATTTGTCCACCTACATACCCATCCATGCATCCATTTGTCCAACCTGTTGTACTCAGTCACCAACCTATCTACCCACACAGTCATCGCTCACCACCCATTTACCTATCCATCTCTCCTTACGCCCCTACTCTTTCCTATCCATTCGTTTAGTCATCCACTTCTTGAGCTATCTATCTTTTCAACTTTCTTTGATCCATTTACCCACCTATTTTCCTGTACCCTCTGCCTACCCTTACACCCAAAAATCTCTCCCCAACACTCCTGCCCTAGTGCCAGCCTGGCTGGGCTTTGCCTCAAGGCTGGGTTTCCTGGGTAGGTGAACTCTTATTCCCAGGTCGGAATCCAGGCCAATCCCTAATGACTTCCTTAGAATTCCCCCACACATACACCCTGTTTCCCGACCCATGGCTCACCATTGGAAGCTGTGAAGTCAATGGCTACTGTGAAGTTCAGCTGCGTCCTGTTGGGGAAGTACATGGATTGAGAAGTGAGGAATTAATACTTATTATACCAGGATTTCTCCAACACTAGTGTGCATATGAATCTCCGGGGGATTGTGTTAAAATGCAGATGCTGATCTGGATGGTCTGAGTGGAGCCTAAGAGTCTACATTTCTAACAAACTTCCAGTGATGCAGGTGCTGCTTGTCGATGGAGCACACTCTGGGTAGCAGAATTAAATGCCTGTTGTGTGACAAGTGTATTATATGTAATTTAACTTAACCCTTACTATTGCCCTGAAGTAGTAATTAACATCTCCATTTTACATAGAAGAAAAGTGAGATTCAGAGAAGCAAAGTACCTTTTCCAGATCTGCCTGCCTCGACTGAACCAAGCGGAATATCTTCTGTAGTGTGCTTGGCTTTCCCCTCTCTCTTGGCCTCTCCCTCTTGTTTGGCCATAACTTTTTTTCTGGGCCTCAGTTAGGTTACTGGGGCCACCTATGAAGACCACTGGTCTGGCATCTTCCCAGAGGGGACTGGAAGCTAGGGATGAAAGGCAACCTCCTGAAGAGAACTAAGATGGGCAATACTATGCATTTTACAGAGCACTTTATGGTTTGCCAAGTGTTTTAAAGTTTATCTCCATGATCTCGTTGGACCCTGACCATTCATAAATAAGAAAACTGAGGCTCAGAACTGGGAGTAACTCATTGCTGGGCTTTCAGCCCAGAGCTTGGTCTGTGACTCACCCTCCCTTGATGTAATCAACAAAAGTGAATTCAGAATCCACAGAGAAGGAGAGCAGCGTCACCTGTGGGACAGAACAGGCAGCCCTGCCACTTTGGAAAGGGCAGTTAGGGTGGCAGAAGGGAGAGAGGCACATGATTCCACCTCCTGCCCCACCCTGTCTCACTCTGTGCAATTTCTGAAAGAGCAAAAAGGGGAAGCTGTCAGAAACATATTTGGATTTCCAAATGTATATTAAATTGGGAAATGCAGCTTAGGTTTTTAAAAAAATTCTACAGAAGAGTAAAGATCAAAAAGTTTTCCTCCAGTGAGAAAAAACAAAACAAAACAAAACAATTTAGATGCTGCTACCTTGTGTCCAATATTACTATATCCAAGTCATCTGTCTCCACAGCCTGCCCATACCCCCAGTGTTTGTCACACTGTGTCAATGGGGACATAAACAGAAGGATCCAAGAGAGCCAGAGCTCCAAGGAACACTCACAGTTCCCGAGTTGACATATTTCTTCTTCTTACATTTCTTCCGAGGGTTAAGTACCTAAGTGAGGAAGATAACAGTGATGGTGGGAAAGAGAGGAAGGGAGCTGCAGACTGAGCACAGTGGGAGGGAGGGCCTGGGCAACTTGGACAGAGCTAGAGCTCTCACCTCATACACTGTGAACTGGTTCTGGGCCTTGCTCAGCTCCCGGTAGCTTGTGGTGAACTCACCGATGAAGTCATGGCTGCAATGAGGCCAGGGGTGGGTGAGCAGCAGCTGCTGCTGGCTTGGAGCCAGCCCTGAAATCAGTCTTTTATTCCCACTATCCCCTGCCTCTACTTGGGCTGCAGGGCACTGGGGCTGGGGCCAGAAGAGGGGCCAAGCTAAGGGGAAGAGAAGGGAAGAGACAGTGTACCAGAGAGACAACTGAGGGGATCAGTTGTACCCCAGGTCTTGGCATCTATCATCACCCTTCCTGGCTCCCAAGGCCACTTTGGGGTTCCTAGTGAATGCGCTATATATTATAGGGAATTGTTTGGGTTAAGTACAGGAGAAGGCAGTACTGTGAGGCAGTTCTACCTTCCATCCCGGTCCCAGTCGTACACATCAATCTTCACCGTTCTGAAATGCAGGAGATAAACATAGGCTGGGTGTGTATAATAAATCCTAGAAACACCCCCACCCACTTCACCATACACAAATCATTCTCCCATCCACCCCTCTGTCCTTCCATCACCCTTCCTCTCATCCATACATTCATCCTATCTGTTCATTCATCAGTCCATGCACATGCCCACCCATCTACTGCCACTACCACTATTACTACTACTCCGGTGTTTGTATCACTATTACTATTCTTTACCACTTATTGAGTCTTACTATATTCCAGGCATTGTTCTCAGCACTTTCACAGATTGTCTCATTTAATTTAACAACCACCCTATAAAGTAAGTACTATTATTCTTATTTTTGGATAAGGAAACAGGAGTAAAAAAACAACAATAACTTGACCAAGGACCATAACTAGTAAGTGATTGAGCTGACATTTACAGTCCCCCCTTATTCATGGTTTTGCTTTCTGTGGTTTCAGTTATTTGCTCTCAACTGTGGTCCAGAAATATTAAGTGGAAAATTCCAGAAATAAACAATTCCTAAGTTTTAAATTGTGCTCCATTCCAAGTAGCATTTTGAAATCTTGCGCTGTCCCACTCTGTCCGGTCCAGGACGTGAATCATTCCTTGTCCAGTGTATCCACACTGTATATGCTACCTGCCCATTAGTCACTTAGTAGCTGTCTCAGTTATCAAATCAACTGCTGTGGTATTGCTGTGCTTGTGTTAGGTAACCCTTATTTTACTTAATAATGTCTCTAAAGCACAAGAGTAGTGATACTGGCAATTTGGATACAGCAAAAAGAAATTAGTGTTGTTAATCTCTTATTGTGCCTAATCTATAAATTAAACTTTATCACAAGTATGTACGAGCAGGAAAAAACAGTATATATTGCGTTTGGTACTATTTGCGGTTTCAGGCCTCCACTGGGGGTCTTGGAATGTATCCTCCTGTGGATAAGGGGTGACTACTGTAAACTCAGACATCCTGGTTCCAAAGATCTTGTTCTTAATTACTATGCCTAAGTCATCCCATATGTCCATCTATCTATGGGGCAATCCATTCAACTATCTGTCTATCCATCTAGCCACCCATTTACCCATCCATTTGCCAATTGAATTCCCTATTAATCCTTATCTATATCCATCTTTCTAACCATACATCCTGCCATTCACTGACTCACTGATGCATGCAAGCATCCATCTGTCTGTCCATTCATCTGTTCAACCAAACACCCAACCATCTGACACCTGTCCATCTGATCATCCCTTCATCTGTATAACCATCCATTTATGTGCCCACCCATCCTTCCACCCACCCACTTATCATCATACTGTACATTTACTAGTTCATACGGTCAGCCTATCCATCTACTTTACACTCATCCATCAACTAATTTATTCACTAATCCATCTATCCATCTACCATCCATTCATCTGTCCATCCATCAATCCACCTGTTACTCCACCAATTTTTCCTCCTGCTTTTCCAATCATCCCTCTGCTTCTCCAGCCATCCACCAATTTCTTAAATACCCATCCATCCACTCATCCATTTACTCATCCATCTATTAATCCATTCATCATCTGTCCATTGACTAATCCGCCCATCAGTCCACTTATCCATTCATCTGCTATCCATTCATCCATCTCCTTTTCTACCCACCCACCAATCCTCTTATACATCCATTCATATACCTATCCATCCATTCACCAATTTATCTATCCATCTGACCATCCATTCATGTATCTGCTCATTCATTTGTTCATTTGCCCTTTCATCCACCTACCCATCCATTCATCCATCTATCCATCCATGTGGCTATTCATCTGCTTTACCCCACCCATCTCCATGCCCAAAATTCTGTCTCACTGAGCAGGATCCTTCAACACTATTATGACACTTTTGCTATCATTCTGGGGCCCAGCAACCTCACTCTCATACCCTTGTCCCCCTACTCCCTAGCTTATGCTGAAGCAGACCTGTCATAGTCTCCATTGCACAGTGCCCGCACAGGGATGCTGAAGGGCTGCCACACGGGGTTCAGCGTGTTTTTCACAACTTCTGTCTTGTGGCAGATGGTGAACCTGGAGAGGAGCAAGAGGACTGGAACCTGCTTTTGGGGTAGGGCTGAGCACAGAGACAGGGCCTTATACTCTTGGAGATTCCTGGGATTCTCCCACTTGTTAAGCACATATTGTGTGCTGCCTTGAGTGAATTCTGGGCTCTGGTCCTGGTGGAGTCTAAGATGCCCCACAACCAGCCTAAGAGCCCTAATGGGCCCATGGTCACAGTGGAGGGGTAGGGGGCTGCCATCAGAGATGGCAGTGACTCACGTGCCATCCTCATTGCTCCTGTAGAACACAAGGAAGGGGTCTGATTTCCCAAAGAAGTCCTTCTTGTCTAGCTTGTTTGCACATAGCTGCATGGTGGCAATGTCCTAGGGGTGAAGTTGGGCTGTTGACACTCAAATTGCCCATAGCCTCAGAGAGTCCACTAAAGGGAGTTCGGAGAGAGAAGGGAGCCTCCTGGGTCTAGCTTGTGGCCCTTACTGACCCGACAATTGCTAAGCTCCTCTGCGATCAGCAATATGGTCCCACACTTCTTGCCTGGTACACCCCTGGAAGCAGAAAAAGCCTCTTTGTGAGGGAGGGGGAGTAGGCAACAAGGATTAGGGTGGCCAATCTGGGATTGGGTGGGCCAGGGGATTCAATTTGCCAATTACTGACAGTCCCCTGAGCGTGTCCCCTTCTATCTTGGGTGGCTCTTGGTGGGGAAGGGCCTGACTTTGACTGGAAAGGGGTCTGTAGTCTGGAAGGAAGGGGTTTATCTAGCCTAGGTGGACATCTCATAATGGTAGCATGGGAAAGACAAAGGATTTAGAGTACTGGGCAAGTTATTTCCCTTTTCTTTGGGCCCTAGTTTTCTCCTATATGGAGTAGAACTCATGCCTACCTCTCAGGGCTGTGAAGAGATCTGAATGAGTGCATAGAAGGAAAAGCAATTGGTAAGCTTTATAGAGATGAGGATGGTTATATTTCTAAAAGCAGACTCTGGTATCTACTATATGCCAGGCACTGTGCTGGGTATGAATTGGTTGGTTGGCACTCTCCAGCTCTGCTAGACCCTGCCCTTGGGGAGCTTCCAGGAGGAGGTGGGATGTCAAAGCCAGCAGGCAAGTAGAGTGTGATGTGGCAGTCTTGAATGAGGGAGAGGAATTTCCATCTAGACCTGGGGCAAAAGGCCTGGTTTGTTAGGTCAAATGCTATGCTTTCCAAATACTGTGAAGAGTGAGATAAAAAAGACAAAGGAAGTCTTATTCTCTCCTGACCCAAGAAGGGACACTTCCATATGCTTGAAGGATGCATACCAGAACACCCATTCCCACTTGCCTTGGGTCTCCAAGCAGTCAGGGACATTGTTGATATGGGCCTGTGAACACCAATCCCCAAAGGAATCCAAAGTGTGGCAGAAAGAAAGCTAGATCAGGGATCCTGGGTTCAAGTCCTGACTCCAACTTGCTGTGTCATGTTCCCCATCTTTAAAATGAGACTGTTGAACCATTTCTTTGGCTCCTTTATCTCTGACTCTCTGTGCTTTAAAAACATGGAATGTAATGAGTACAGGGACTCTTCACCTGCACATCCAGAACCAAGTCACCAATCTCTTGCCTTCTTGCTGTTCTTCACTTCTTTGGCGTTCTCCCTCACCTCCTCACCCAGTGTGAATTCCACTCGGTGATTATAACCATCACTCCCTTGCATCCTATCCCTTTACCCTTGCCCTGCTCTCAGTTTGATATACTTCTTTGGCAGAACCACAGCCCTAGTTAAGTCCAGTTCTCTGTCTATCCCATACTGCACCTGTGCAGCTGAATATGGTCAGAGGAAAGCATGTAATTATGCTAACTGGTTTCATTTTGAACACATGACCACAAACCTCAAGAGCATCCTAACCATACTATATGCCCCAAGTCCCTTCACTCTCCAGTTCTGCTGGATGGCAGTTTCACTCCTCCTCGCCTCTCCTCAAACCCAGAAAGCCTCGTCCTTCATCCTCACTCTCAATGACCTTGTTTCCTGCTTCACTGACAAAACAGACCCACCACCACACCTACCCTGCCTCTAGTATTTTCATCCACACAACTGTGCCTTCCTACCATTACTGTAAATGACTGCCTGTGTGCCTGTTTATCCCTCCACCATGTACTCCATTCCACAGCCTCTTGTCTGCACAAGAACATCACTGCAGCAATTCTCCTCTCTTTTTATTATGTCAAATTTTCAGTTTCTACTGGGTCATTCCCATTAACATACAAACGTGGTATAATTTTTCTCATGTTAAAAAATTACTAAAAATATTCTGGACCTCATTTCCCTCTCCAGCCACCCTCCTTTTGTCTTCTCCTCTTTGCAGCAAAACCCCTTGAAGATTCCTTGACTCCTATTTCTCTCTTCCATTCTCTTCTAAACCTCTCCAATCAGGCTGTCACTCCCATCTCTCCTTCAAAACTATGCTTGTGAGAGTCACCAGTGACCTCCATCTTGCTAAATCCAATGGCCAATTCCCGATTCTCACCTTATTTGACCTGCAGTAGTATTTGACACAGCTGATCACTCTCTCCTCCTTGATACATGTCTTTCACTTTGCTTCCAGGACAACACCTTCTCTTGGTCCTCCTCCTACTTCATTAATGCTCCTCTCAGTCTCCTTTTCAAGCTCCAACTCATGGGGTCTCTGTCTTTGGTCTTCTCTCCTCACTCACTGGTGACCTCACCTAGTCTCATGGCCTTAAAGAACATCTAAGACTCATGTGTCTTACTGCCTATTTGACATGTCAGATGTCTAATAAAAATTATAAAATTCAGCATATTGGACTGAACTCCTGATTGAATCCTCCCCATAACTTATTCCTCCCTCAATTTTTTTTTTTTTTTTACCATCTCAGTTTATGGTAACTCCATCCTTCCAGTTGTTCAGGCCAAAGGCCTTGGTGTCATCTTCGACTCCTCTTTTTCTGTTACATCCGTATTCAATCTGTCAGGAAGCTGTTGGCTCCACCTTCAAAATATATCCATAATCTGGCCACTTCTCCCCTCCTTCACTGCTACCATCCTGGATTACTGTAAATAGCCTTCCAATTGGCTTCGTATCTCTACCTTTGTCCCCTGAAACTTTATTCTCAATCCAGCAGCCAGCATCATCCTTTGAAAGCATAGTCAGATCATGTCACTCCTCTTCTCAGAACCCTCCAGTGACTTCCCAACTCAGACTAAAGGCTAAATCCTTACAGTGGCTACAAGGCCCTCACTGTCAACTCTCCAACTGCACCTCCTCTTTCTCTCCCCCTTGTTCACTTGGCTCCAGCCACACTGGCCTCCTTGCTGGGCTTTTGCACTGGTGATTTCCTTTGCCTGGAACATTCCTCCTCCAGATATCTGCACAGCTCACTCTCTTACCTCCTTCAGGTCATAGCCCCGAAATTACCTCTCCAGGGGGCCAACTCAACCACTCTGTTGAATAGAGCACCTCTTGCCCACCCAGCATGTCCAATTCCCCTAATGCTTCTCTGCTTTGCCTTTTTTCTGTAGCTCTTAATGTCTTCTAATATATTATGTAATGCACTTATTTATGATGTCTATTTTGCACTGTCTCTACCTCTCTTCCAGAGCATAAGCTCCCTGAGGGCAGGAACTTTGTTTTGTTTACCAGTGCAACTCACACCCCTTGAACAGTGGCTGACACAGAGTATGTGCCCAGTAGTATTTGTGGAATGGATAAATCCCTGGTGCCTAGCACAGGGTATGGCATACAAAACATGGTGATAAATATTTAGTGAGTGAATGTAATGGAAATTCCAGAGGACTTGACTTAGTCAGGGGAAGCTTCCTGGATGAGAAGGGCTTGGAAGTGGACCTTAAAGGTTGAATCAGGCTTAGAGTAAGGAGAAAGAGACATGTCAGGCGTAAGACTGCCTTGAGCAAAGCCCTGGAGATTGGATTTTCCCACGAGGGTGATGGGAGCCATTGAAGGCTCCGGACCACGGGGAATCCCAGCCTCCACTGCTATCGGGTCAGCAACGTCTTTGGGAGGAGATTTTGGAGGTGCCCGCCCTTCCCCCACACCCCTTCCGGTTCAGCTCACGTGAGGGGTCGCTCTACGCGGCTGCCCTGGCCTCCGATCACCTCTCCCAGGGCCAGGAACGCTTGTCCCAGGAAATCCTGCGCCGGGACACGGAGTCAGTGAAGCTAGGAGGAGCTGGGGGCGCAGAGTCCCAGCCCAGCCCTGGTAATGCTGCCGCACCGACCAGGGCTTTCTGAGGCGCTGGAACGTCGCAAGAACCACCGCCTGGCATGTGCTTTAAAGGAAGGGGAGGGGGCACCCAGGCAAGCCCCGCTTCTTGATCTTGCCATCACTTTAAGCTGCTCTCCACGATGCCATCCCACCCCTCACCTCTCACCCGCCGTCCAGCCCCATTCAGCCTCACCTTCTGCAGGTCCCAGCGGCGGCCAAGAAGGAAGAGAAGCAGTGAGTAAGAGGCACAGGCAGGAAACCGAGGCAGGAGCAGGACAGGAGGGCCGGGAGGGCGGGGTGGGGGCCGAAGAAGGTAGAGTCGGGGTTGAGGGGTAGGAGAGTTCTAAGGAGGGTCGTTTAACACACTGAACTCCGCCTGTGTACCCGGCCAACCCGCGAGGGGACGCTCGCTCACCGGTTTGGAGATGTTGGTTTTGGAGTCAACGTTGTACCTGGGAAGAGAGTGGAACCAGCGTGGAATGAAGCTGGTGGGAGAGAGCATGGAAAAGGGGCCCGGTTTCGAGTCCTGGTTAAAATTGTGGGTGGAGGGAGGGGCGGCCTTGGATCCGAATTCAACCTGGATCTCCTTTGGGGCAGGAGCCAGGGTCAGAGAGGGTAGGCCTGGAGCTAAGACTAGACTGGAGCTCTTCAGAGTGGGACCAAACTGGGCCTGGGGGAGGAGCTAGGCCGGGAGTCCAGGCGGGGCGGGGCCAGCCAGAATTTTGGGCTGATCCAGGTTGGGCAGGGGGAGGTCCAAGCCAGAATTCTGGGCGGGGCTCACACGTCAAAGCGCAGATTTTGCTTTTCCTCAAAGAAATAGTCGAGGACGAATTTGCGCACGAAGTCTGGGTTCAGCGTGTTGTCGATCACTTCGGTCCGTCCAAACTGGATGGGGGTCGGAGAGTCAGCGCGAGGCCTGCAAGGGGGCAGGTGATTCCCGGGGGCGGCTCTGGGCTGGGAGAGGGCTCTGGTACTCACCTCCCGCCACTCCTGGCTGGCCCGGCTCTGCGTGTAAAGCACCACCACTGCAGGCAGGAGCGAGGGCGGGGAGGGAAGGACGTCAGGTCGGCCCGCACCCCCTGCCCGCCCTAGTCGCGCCCGGACCCCAGGCTCCCCCTCCCGGCCCTGGCGCCGCCTACTGGGGTCGGACTTGGAGAAGGTGTCCAGGTCCAGCAGGTTCCTAGAGAAAGCGACAGACAGATGGACAGAGGGTCATCCTGGAGCCCACCGCCTCGTCTCTACCCAGAGTTGGGCACCCGGGGTAGGCATGGGGCTCAAATCGCACCTCCCTCTCCCATTACTACACCCAGCCGGGGTCCGCGTTGTCAGCATCCTGGACAGCACCGGAAATCTCAGCCCAAAAACAGTGTCTCTGCGGACTGGACGCGTATGCATCCAGACTGTCTCCAAGGGCCCAAGAAAGAGGGTTAGCTTCCAGAACTTTGTCCTCTTGGGGCCCAGATCCTACTGGGTCCCTGCAACCCATCCCTTGAACCCGCAGGCTGAGCCGTCTTTTGCGGGTGGGGCTGTTCAAGGAAACCCTCTCCCCGAATCCGCCGGCGACTCCCCTGAGTCTGCTTCCGCGATTTTCCGCCTAGATGCTTCTCTCCCCCGGGTCTAGCCCGTGTCCGCGCCGAGCCCCGGAGCCGGTTGGGGTTGGGGCACTGCCTAAGCCCTCCCCAGAGTGGCCCGCTCACCGGCAGGACACGGTAATTTCAATCTTGGTGGCCGGGACGCTGCGCTCAGAGGCTCCGCTGAGAGACATGGCTGGTCGGGTGGCCGTAGCTGCGGGAGGCTGCGAGACGGGGGCCGCCGGGGCTAGGGGCGGCGGGGTCGGCCCATGTGCCGCGGCGGTGGCGCCTGTGCTCCCTCCAGCCGAGTGTGCGCTCCCGCCGCTCGCGCCTTGACTGTGGCCGCCGGCGGCAGCGGCTCCAGATGGCAACAGAGCCCCGCCCGGCCCTGCGGGTGGCCCCCGCCCTATTGGAGCAGCCTCGAGCGGGCCGGGAACCTTACCCAGACCCCAATTTCACCCCACATCTTGGGAGAGTCCTCAGTGAATTTCTCTGGGGTGAAACCCAAGCCCCCTGAGAGCTGTCCGCGGTGCTGAAGGGTTTGGTGCGCTGGGTGGGCATAGGGGACGTTTCCTCTTCCGAAGCTGCTCCTTCAACAATCTGCTTATCCTCCTTCCCATTCCTGCATTGCCCAGGTCTCTGAATAGGAAGAGTTACACATTTGTTCTTATTAGCTGTGTGACCTTGGGCAAGTTACTCGACATCTCTGTGGCTCAGTCTCGTCATTGTAGAAAGGCCATAATAGCACCTACTTGGGGTGTTGTAAAATTTTATCCAGATAATCCATGGAAAGGATTTAGCACGGGATTGTACACCGTAAATACTCAAGAAATGTTTGCTATTATTTCCTTCCTCTGGGCATTCACATTGATGACCTATTTTGTGTTGAGTCAGAGTTCAGTAAACGGTGGCTGTTCCAGCACTGTGCAAAGCCCTTTGCCCATGTATTTGAACACCCATGACTTCATGGTGTTACAGATGTAGACACACTCTGTGAGGATGCAACCTACTCTAGGTCACACTGTAGATGAGGGCAGTGGTCAGTCAGATGCATCCTCCCCATACCAACTACTGCCTCCAAAGCCCCAGAAGCCAGTCCCTCCACCACAGGCAGGGATCTCTAAGGCAGGGGCTGCAGGTCACCTGTACCAGGACTGTGCTGCCTGCAGAACTTATTACAAATGAAGATCTCCCCCCGCCTTCCCAGCTTAAGGAAGATCTCAGCAACCCCAAGTCTAAACTTCAGGCAGCCCTGGGGACCTGCATGGATAAACAGGCTCTCTAGGTGACTAGGGCCCACTTGGGCCTGAGGACCACTGCTCCCACCTTAATAGCCTGTGATTACTTGTCCCCATGTCCCTGAGATTATCATGGCTTAGGAGACACACCCAAGTCCCCAGTTTTCTTCCTCCTTCACCTGCCCCTCCCCCCATAAAAACCCCTTCTTCCAGCACAACGAAGGACAGAGAACCTTCCAAATAAATCCAGAAAGACAGCAACCAAATGAGGATGCAAGAGAACACTGTTCAAAAAGACGTTGATTTTATTTTGTGATCTGTGTCAAACTGCCTCATTCTCAGTGCAGGTGACCCCTCCTCCCCAGGAAACAAGAATGGGAAGGGGGTGTCATTCATGAAGTCTTGGCCTCCACAAGGCCCCAGGGAAACCCCACACAGTTCTGAGAGTTGATGGGCATCCCGGGCAAAGACTAGGGTGGGTGGGAGGCAGTGACAAGAGGGGTGGTGGTCACCAGTCAGGAAGCTGGAGGTTGGAAAACCCTGTTCTTGGCCCTGCTTGGCTTTGGGGCTGCCATGGGCATGATGGAGAAGGGAGAGTGAGTAGATTTCCCCTGAACTTGAAGCACCCCTTGGCCAGGCATAGCTTTGATTCCATTCAGGGCTCAGGTGAGAGAGGAGCAGGAAACTGTTGTGGGCTGGCTGCTTCATAAGGTGCTGCTACTGGTGCCCCGGAGTCCAACACCACGGACAAATTGCTCCAGCAGGCCCCCGATGGCACCGGAGGGACTGGGGGCTGCTGCCCGAAGCCCCACTGTGCTGCTGTATGTGGCCAAGAAGGCTGAGCGTACCTCCTGTAGCCGAGTCTCCCGCTCGCTCAGGGCTGCAAGCCTATGGGAAGGGAGGGAGGGAGAATGAATGCATTATCCTGGGGCAAGATCCAACATCTTCATCTTCATGCCACACTGCCTATCCTTCTGCCTTTGCTAGCATAAAGCCAGCATCTGTCCTGTGGCCATACTACCCTGTACTACCTTTGTGGGTCAGGCCCCAAATATTTGGCCCTATTTCTCTCTTAAACCATCCCTCTCAGTTCTCAGGCTACTGTTCCTACCTAGAAGCAGCACCTTTTACTGGGGCACTGGACTGACTTTGTGTTGGGAAAACAACCATCTCTATGATGACTGGGGAGGGGGAAAGCAAAGCAAGAGGGAGTTAGCCCCAATAGCTGTTGGCTTCCATTCCTCAGTAAGAACAAGCTGAGGCATAAGTCTTACACCTAACAGTAAGGAGAGACCCCAAGATCAGATATCAGGCCCAAAGCCCTAGCTTTCTTGAGGTCAGGACCTGGAGCATCCTGGGAGGAAGCTCTTGGCAGTGCCCTGGAGAGGTCAGGATCCTCACTGGAAACTCTCGAGGTTCTAGCTACACCATCAGTCACTGTGGTCCCCAAGTCAACAGCTAGGAGGGTGCCGGCTCTTTCAGCAGGATTCCTGTTCTGATTCTATCTGCTTTTCCTTCTCTGCCCTCTATAGGACTGATCACAGATAGAAGAAGATAGGAAGCCCCTCTTCTTTCTGTGGCTTGGAACTATAAGTCAAAAAGGAGAACAAGTGCACAAAAACTCAGGCTTATCAAAATATGAACTCCATATGAGACTGTTTGACATCCTGAAGGGTCTTTAATAGAAGAGGCGGGAGGTACCAGTCACACTCAACCTCTAGACTAAAAGGTATGCAGTCTACTGGCGGGAGACGTGGAATCAGAGGAAAGGTGAGGATCTCACATGGTGTTCCCCCTACCTATGCCCTGGAAGGCCTTCTCCAGGGGTCACAGATCTACATAAAATGAGCCCTCATGTTCCCACTCACCTAAGCACCAAGACTAGCCCTAACCACTAACTTACTCCAAAATTTCCCAAGAGACCAATCCCTGGGTAATCCCTCCTGGGAATCTCTCAGAAACAGCAGCAATGTCTTCAGTTCCCAAGCCCAAATAACTTACACCCCAGGGCCTGGGGGAGCAGATGGAGGAATGAGGATAAATGACAGTCCTGGGGTAAACATGGGGAGAACAGACCTAGGGAAAGCAATTGGTGGGAGTGATGTATACGTGTGTGTGTGTGTGTGAGAGAGAGAGAGAAAGAGACAGAGAGAAGCAGTAGGTTCCAGGGTGAAGGAAAGTCAAATAGGTCTCCCAGCAGCACTAAGAAAATGGAGCTGATGCTGGATTCTTGCGATGCCATCAACAACTCTGAAGTTTCTCTTAGCATTTGGGGGAGATGCATGGCCCTAGATCTTCTTTACTTTCTAATTAAAGTTTCACATAGGCTGGAGGCCATATGCGCTTCTTAGCTTTTCCTTAGAGCATATAACCAGGAGAAATTCAGATAAGTAGTTTGTATTCACAGGGAACATCCAAAGGTCCATATGCGTGCATTCTCACTGCCCCATATTTCTGGGAGGCGGAAGGGGGAAGAGATCACAACCCATTTAAAGACGAGAAAAGTGGAGCCCAGAGAGAATATGGGATCCACTTGAGGACATACAGCAGACAATGGGCAGACAGGGACTAGAGCTACCATAGTGCCACTCCCTCTCAAGAGATGAGCTAGCCGGCTCAGGTAAGTCAAAGCTGACACCCTCAGACAGCTGGTGAGCAGAGCAGCTAGGATTTGGACTAAACTTCTCCAATAACAAAGCCCAAGCACTGAACCCACATACTGTGTGACCTCACTAGGAATCAACCCTGACCCCACTGCCACCCTGCAATCCTAGAGGCCATGAGATCATGTAGAACCTAGCCATCTTCTGGGAGCCACCAAGAACCTGAGGGTTGACTAGACGCTTGGAGAACTGTCCAAGGTATAAATCATAGGATCTGGGGGTGGAGTTGCCTGTTTCAGCGGCTAATGCCAGGTAAGGGAGGTGTGCTATCAAGCAGGGGCAGAGATGTCTGCTTCCTCCAGAGATGGCTCTTAAGCAAGTTTGGCTAAAGAAGGAAGTCCCTACAGAAAGATGCAAACAACTATTATTTTTAATCGTTTAAAAATCTAAGACAGAGATCTTGTTTCTGGCTTAAGGGCCTGGCTACAGAGGAGGCTTGCCAGGCACTAGTGGGCTCTGAAGTCCTTGGGCTACTTCCTAGCTGCAGGGCCAGGGCCTGTGAGCACCATCCTGGAATCCCAAGGCCCAGCCCATGCTTGCCCTCCGCAGGGATCCTTCTCTACTCCCCAGGGCAGCTTGCCTCCAACTGTCAGCACTGGTGGGTATGAGCTGGATTTTGGGGGTAGGGCTGAATCCCCAGCACCTGAAGTTCATTCAGTCCACGGTGGGGAGGTGAAGGCCCTCAAGCAGCCACAGCTGAGGAGCAGGCACTGCTCCCCAGGCTGCTGGAGGCTCTCCCCTGCCTGACATCTGTGCAGCAGAGCAGGCAGGGGGCAGGTGGCTGCCACAGGGACAGCTGTTCAAGTGGATGCACTACAAGAGTTAGAAGCCCAGTACTGGGGCCTTGGAGGGAGAGGATTTTACAGGCTTGAGATTTACTATCCCCACCCAATTTTCTTTCCCGACCAGAGGCAAAAGCAGAAGACAAAAGGGGGGAAGGGAAGCAAGGAACCCCTGGTTCTGCTCGGGAGGAGCACAGCCCTCTGGTTAACCCAGCTCCATTCTGGCTCTGGTTTCCACCATACACCTACCTTCACTACCCCACTGTTTTGCTTTCAAAGGATTCTCATGTCAGGCAACAGTTGGACAGAAATAGAATCTTCTATAGTTATAGTCCAGCCAGCTTTCCCTCAGGGTGTGCCCTGAGACACCCGTGGATGGGTTTTGGAGCCTGAGGAGAGTGAACACACACTCCAGGGCACTTCCTGAGCAGCCCACGAGGCCTCCTTCATACCTCGGGGGTTCAGGAGCAGTGGGGGTTAGCTGAGACACTGAGGAGGGGCAGGAATCCAAGGCCAGCTCCCTGGGGCTGGCTGCTGCCTCATTCCTAACCGGCATTCTTGATTGCTCACCAGCTTTTGATATGGGCAGGGGAGTATCCTGCCTTCTCAAGCAAGACACTTACAGACAACTGTTAGGGAGCTCATCCGGGAAGCTGAAAGGGAGAGAGGAGTCTGTGTGCAGGACAGCCCGTTCCTGAATACTGCCACAGCCTGTTACCATCTGCCAGCTGCCAAAGTCTGTGGAGAGAGAGGATCCGGGCAGGGGATGGTCCACTGATCTGGGGCAGAGAGGAGAGAGAGGGGAGATGATGCACAGTCAGTCATCTGCCTGACAGGGGAGGCCCTGGCGGGGCTATGGTGGCCCTGGGCCATGGGTCACAAGGTTCTGTTGGTGGAGTATCTGTAAAGTCAACCATTTTCTCCAAAAGTGCAAAAACAGCTGGATAGGTTGTGACCGAGAAAGAAGAGTATAGACCACAGGGTAGGCTCAGCCGTGAAGACAATGCTTTGTGCGAAGACATAAGGAGCAAAAGAGTAAGAGCAAAGCATAGTGACAAGAGGTGAGCCTGCAACCACAGCCTGGAGTCAGGGCATGCCCAACCTGGTAGCTGACACAGCAAGTACCATCTCAACAGCACCAAAAGGAGGGGAGCAAAGCTGGATGCCCCAGGAGCCAGGCAGGCAGGATTGCCTCACACTCCCTGGCATGCAGATTGGCAGGGTGGGGAACACAGAACTCAGGGGCTGCTGAGGTCCTATCAGAAAGGTGGGAGAACAACCCTCTTGGGGATGGTGGCGAGTGGTGACCTAGATTGAAGAGTGAGGTGACGGGAACCATAAGATACTCCCTCCCCTCCCTCTGCAGCGGCTTCCAGGAGCCATAATTTGTATTCACAAGCATCAACCCAGCACTCACTGGCTATGCCCAGAGGGAAGGGATGAATCAGGCAGGCAACCTGACAGTTTCATCAGGCCTTTTTCAGATGGAAGGTTGGGGGTGTGGGGAGAGGAAAGTTGTATTGGGAATCTACTGCAGCCACCTCCTCTCCACTCACAGCCAACCCCTCTCCATAGTAGCCCAGCCAGTGGGAATGAGGGAGGAGATAGGGAGACATCAAACAAGGCCCTTCCATCAGCTACCCCAGGTCCCACTCCTCAGAGATGCATCATCTTTGATGCTTAACCCTTTATTCTTTAATTCAAGCCTAGCTGAAGGTGCTCCTGTAGGGACCCAGAAACAGGGCA